AGGTCGCTTCATCTGCAGAGAACTTACATGTCCTTTGTTTATTTCCTTAAGGTGAAAGCAGACAAGAAGCACCCCTCATACTCTACTATTAATGATTTGTCGAGCTCAATTTTGTTTGGAAACAGGCCTTCGATGAGGCAGCCCTTCTCAATTCACCTGAAGAGTCTAGCTGAGGAAACTGGAGTCTCACTAGAACACAGTTTAATGGCTCCTGTAGCATACCCACCACCGTGGCAATGGCAGACTATAGACTGCGATGTGTCTTTTCTAGAAGTTACAAAACATGCGCCTATTGCCCATATCCGAACATACTTCCTGGAACTTCAACACAAATACACACGTCCTGAGTTCTTTACAGATGCCTTCAAGTCTAACTCCTCTGTGTCCTACGCTGCTGTCGGTCCATCCTTTTCGGATGCTGGCCCTCTACATCCAGGCACAAGTATCTTCACAGCGGAAGCCTATGCGATACTTGTGGCGGCTAAACACATCAAGCAATTACAAATACAAAAAGCAGTAATTTATACAGACTCCCTCAGTGTAGTAACGGCTCTGCATACTCTTAAAAAACACAAAAACCCAGTCCTTGTCTCACTTTACTCCATTTTATGCACACTCTACACACTCAAACAACATGTTGTAGTGTGCTGGGTGCCAGGGCACCGTGAGATTCAAGGCAACGTGAGGGCGGATCAGCTCGCTGCATCCGTCCACAAAAGCACTGCCCCTACACCCATATCAATCCCGGCCCTTGATCTTAAGCCGTCTCTCAAACGAAACCTCAGACTATACTGGCAGAGCAAGTGGGATACACACACACAAAACAAACTACACGTTATTAAGCCACACCTTGGTCATTGGCTGCCTGTATCGAAATCGCGTCATACAGAGGTAATACTAACGAGACTCAGGATAGGACACACATACACGACACACACATATCTTTTGTCTGGTGGCGATCCACCATTGTGTGACAGATGTGGTGAACCATTAACCGTCCTTCACATATTAATCCAGTGTAAACACTTAGAAACTCTAAGAAAACAACATTTTCCATTACCCTACCGACAACATATACCTTTACACCCTGCAATGTTCGTTGGTAGGGGACCGCTTTTTAGTCATAAATCATTGTTAGCGTTTTTAAAAGAAATTCATAATTTTCATATCGTATACCCGGGCATTCGTAGCATGGCCTCTCTAGAGAGGTTTTTGCTGTGGCGGTTACACAAGAAAGCACTTGCCTCACGGTCCTTGGACGCAAGGGTATGAACGAGTGAGGCACTTGTGCTAATGCCATACATATCCACCATCGTCTTTTATTATCACCAACTTTTGTCATCTATTCACACCACACACACCTTTCACGGCATGGTCATGATTTTATTACTTGTATGTTCTTACCCGCCTTATTGCGAGGAATTTTATGGCCCTTATACAGCCGCTTATCACAATCATTGTCCATATTTTTAGTAAGATGAACTGGCGCTCTTTGGCCAACAAATGGCCCTTGCGCCAAAAAAAACACCATATATCATCTTGCCCTCATCTCCTATGTAAGGGTTGGTTTCGACTAATGAAAATTATAAAGAAGAAACTCTCGTTATTAAAGGAAGATGAGAATTGAAAAACAAGTTTTTTTCCTTCAAAATTATATACATTTCATTTTTATTTGCTTTCACAAGTTTAGTTTCTCTACTTTCACGAAAAAAAAATTGAAGAATATAATTAAACTCGAAGTAATTTAAAATCACGCTTCAAGAGCCCAAGGTGGCTACTAAAATTAAAAAGAGGTCATTGTCTAGAGTCACCTAGAAATTCAGTTTCAGTTTCAGTTTATTATTCATTTCAAAAAAGTAGTACAGTAATATTAATATACAGACGAGGGTCCCAAAGTTAAAAACTGTAACGGGACCCTCGTCCCGTTACAGTAAAAACTGTAACGGGACATTATAACAATCAATAAATCAGATCAAGTTAACAAGCAACGAGTGAATGGAAATCAATTATACAATATAGAGTGATGAGTAATTATTATAGGCTAAGTGACACATCAGGCAACAAAAAGCAAGGCAAATAAGGAAAGAAAAAAGAAAGAACGGAAAAAAAAGAAAGAAAAAAAAACATCTCGTTCAGTGGCGGACATTGTCAATCGAAATGCAATGATCTAAATGGCATAACCAAAAACGCAAAGCCCCCAAAAAGCCCATATACAGGCAGCTAGTAATTTAACAGAAAACTTTTAAGCGACTTTTTGAATGATGACAATGTGGGCATCGTTTTAACAGAAAGAGGCATGTTATTCCAAAAAGTAATGGCCGCAAAGGCAGAGGTCATTTTTCCATAATTTGTGCGCGACGCGGGTAGCAAAAAGTTAAGGTTCATTGCAAATCTGGTTACATTGTTGTTTTGTAAGAAAACTAAATCAATTAACTCAAACGGTAGCAGTGCATTGCGCAATTGAAACAGAAGAACGGCTATGCTATAAAAAAATAACTTACGAACAGGTAGGATTTTGTTGTCTTGGAGTAGATGGCCTGCACTAGAGTATCGTGAGCTATTAGTGATAATGCGGATCGCCTGATTTTGTATGTTCTGAATGGGTGATAGATGACAATCATACGTGTTTCCCCAAGCAGCGATACGATACATGATATGGGAATGAAGGAAGGCGAAATACAGAGACATAAGTACGTTTATATGAAAAACTTCACGAGCTTTTATTATAGCCTGAATTCCGAATGCAGTTTTCTTTCTGAGGTGATCAGTGTGGAGATTAAACTTTAAATGGCAGTCAAGATGTACACCAAGAAAAATTACAGTATCACAGGTGGGTATAGAGTGCGGACCTAGGGTTAAGGGTTGATGAAAAGGCAATGGCCTTTGAGTGGACCTAAATATCATAAACGTGGTTTTGGCTGGGTTAATAATAAGTTGGTTCTCGTAGCACCATTTAGTAATATCTAGAAGTGTGTTATTCAAGTGTAAAGTAAGAGCAGTTAGAGAGTCCTCAGCTGCAGTTATAGTCGTGTCGTCTGCGTATAACACGCAGTGAGTTGATTTAATTGCATCGACAAGATAATTAATATAAATAATAAATAATAAAGGGCCCAAAATAGACCCCTGGGGCACGCCTTGATTGATTAGCTTAGTTTCAGAAGAAGCGCCTGATACGTACACCGAGCATTCTCTATTGTGCAGATAATTTTTCAGGAAGGTTAATGGAGCTCCAGTTACCCCATAGGCCTCCAATTTGTTAAACAGGGTGGCATGATTAATGGTGTCAAAGGCCTTGGTGAAATCTAGGAAGACAGATCCAACAAATTTACCAGAGTCAATCGATTTTTTTAAGTAATCTATTAATGAAACTAGTGCTAAGCTTGTAGAACTGCCTGAACGAAAGCCAAATTGACACGGATGAAGTATATTAAATTTGCTTAGGTAATTACTTAAACGATCAACGAACAGTTTTTCAATAACTTTGCTGAGGGAAGAAAGAATTGATATGGGCCGATAATTAGAAACTGTTCTTTTGTCACCCTTCTTGAATACCGGAACTATTTTAGATTTCTTTAAAAGTTTAGGAAATACGCCTTGCTGAAACATTAGATTAATGATATCACTAAGTATCCCAGAAATATTACGCGCAACCAGTTTTAAGTGATACGCAGAAATATTGTCAAGACCTGCGCATTCATTTTTTAGATTCAAGAGAAGTGAGCATACTTCGTCAGCGGTTACGGGCAAAAGAAAAAATGAAGAAGCGACCCGAGAAACGGAACATTTTGGTATGACTGATTGTGTAGTAGGAATGCTAGAAAAAAAATCGCTGAAAGCATTTGCAATAGAAGTTGGCTGTTGCAAAGAAATATTATTATATATTATTTCAGATATAGGTGAGTTTCCAGATGATTCGTTTAAAAAGTTGTTCAAAAGGTTCCATTGTTTTTTAGGGTCCCCCTGATGTTTGGTCAACTCATTTTCATAATAACGCTTTCTTGCTTCTCGGAGTAAAATTTTCAAATTGTTGCAATATTTCCTGTATCGGCCGGCAAGCGAAGTATTAAAAGGCTGTCTTTTTGTTTTTTTGTTAAGGTTATCTTTTTTACGAACACTTGTCAATAAGCCGTTTGTCATCCATGGATTGTGGGGAAATTTATACCGTTTTTTGCATTTAACAGTTGATGTACTAGATGTTACGGCCTTTAAAAATAAAGCGCAGAATTTCTGTAGCATAGCCTCTACGTCGGAGCAGGAATTACCTGGCTGCTTGCCTTTGCATTTTGCATGAGCAAATTTTCAAAAGCCACATTCTCAAAGTAACCATGATTGTCAAGCTCTAACGATGGAAGAAATTATCATAAAAACATAACTTTTCTACACAAATGAGCTTTCACTTACACCTTTGAAGTGTGTTTTTCTCGAAGTCAATTTTTGGGCAACTTCTTGAGTGAGTTTGGACATCATGTTTTTGGTAATTCTGATAGCCCAATCGGGATGAAATTTCGCCCACGTACTTCTAACATGTGAAGGGTGCAAGTATTTCCTTTAAAACTTTATATCACCTGTACAATTATTATGAACATAAAGTAAGCGATTAGTATGGACTCAGGATTTATAAAATTCTTACATTACAATTTTTCTTGTCCATTGAAATGTCTTGCATGCACTTCCCAATAGTTATTTACATTTTATACTTAATATGGGGTAATATAAGCCAATAATGGCTCAGAGCCATGATAATTAGTGGCATAAAAGTCTGTCTAAAGTTAACTATACTTTACACATTGTCATGACACAAAATTTAAAATGTACAACTTACTATAAAATTAATTGCATACTCCGAATCAGCATACAAGCTATATATACAGCAAGAGTTTTATTGCCCTAGGCTACAGATTAACCCAACTTTTTTTTTTTTTAGAATGTGTGGATGTGGTATATATGCTCATACATACGCCGGTGGAACAGGTAGAATTTTTTTTTATTTTTCACTTCAGGTGTGACAAATTCTGCTTCAAAGTGGTGCTGGCGTTGATATACATTTCGTGCTTCATCGATCTTGCGCAAAAAGACCGCCGGTACAATGGCATCTTCTTCTATGCCTTCACCTTCTGCGAAAACGCTCTCCTGCTCGGACTGTGGTACTGCTACAACCAGAGTAGCCCCTGGTACGAGACTCTCGCACTCGTGGGTAGCTTCTTGAGCTTCTGCGTAGGCACGGCCTGTCTGGTGAGTTCGGTGAATTTCGCTATTGTCTTCATTGCTCTATTTGGTACTGAGGGTGATCCAGAAGCTCCGCGGCGGGCTGGTGGCTGAAGAGGTGCTGGCACCTTATTACGAGCCTTAGTTGACTCCGTCGTACAACTTTTCCACATACCACGACCACTCTGAACAAATGTTGAGTTCGGTAAATGCTGTTGAAATGTTTTATTTTAACAAGAAAGACCATTTGTCAGGCTTGTGCAAATGAAGAATTTTATGTTCGAAGCAAATTCAAAGCGAATAGTGATTTTGGTCGAATAATTTTGAATCAAATTTGTCGAGTATATATAACATATCGTAAAGAAAAAGGCACGTTTGTCATAACCCTAATAACCTGCGCAATATATATTTTTTTAATTGAAACAAGGCCTGTGCAAATGCTGCTATTCTTGATTCAAAGGAAGTGGAAACAACTTTTAATAGTAGCAGAATTTGATTTGACTTTTGGTAGAATGCAAGCGATAACCTGTAAAATATGTTATGCTATAAAATTTACCTTACGTAGAGCATATTGTCACGTGCTACAAAAGGTCTTCAACTAGGAAGAACTGAGCTGGTGGGGAGACGCACCGAAAACTGGCAAGATGGCTGCATCAATAATAAACAACTAGCCAGAGCACGCGCTGCCCCAGAACATTGTCTTCCATTCTCGCGGACAGCTATGGCTTGCACTCGCCGTAACTAGCGGCCAAGTGGCATTATTCCCCCTCTGAGAAAAAAAAAAAAAAAAGGCATCATTCTGATGCTCGGAAAGTACAGAGGCAAAGTCGGGGCGAACCAACAGAAAATACGCGCATACACAAAAACAGCGATATGGTTCATGCGCAGTCCCACTACCGCGTGAAGTACGGACGGCTTCAGGCACACCACGTGGACAATCTCCGCGGAGTGCCTTCGCCGTTGTGGTGAGAAGGCGTCGTCAGGGACTACCTCGTAGTTCACATCGCTCACGCGTCGCAAGACTTTGTATGGTCCGAAGTAGCGACTGAGCAGTTTTTCTGACAATCCCTGGCATCGGACTGGAGTCCACACCCAAACTTGATCGCCTGGATCGTATTCAACTTGTCGATGGCGAGCGTTGTAGCGGCATGCGTCTGTACTCTGCTTGTGCGTAATGTGTTGGCGTGCTAACTGGCATGCTTCTTCGGCGTACTGGGTAAGCTGCACAGCATCAGGAGTGATCAAAGGATCGCAATTGTGTGGAAGCATCGCATCCAGCATGGTCTGGACCTCACGTTCATAGACAAGAGGGAAAGGCGTGAATCGCGTAGTTTCGTAGTATTGTACGCGAATGTGACGTACGGAAGCACCTGTTCCCAGGTCTTATGCTGAACATCTACGTACATAGATAACATGTCAGCGATGGTCTTGTTGAGTCGCTCTGTCAAGCCGTTGCTCTGTGGATGATATGCTGTGGTCTTGCGATGGCTCGTGTTGCTGAGCTTGAATACTTCATGAATGAGCTGGGCCGTGAATGCTGTTCCTCTGTCTGTGATTACGCACGATGGGGCGCCATGTCGAAAAACGATCTGGTCCATAAAGAATTGGACGACGTCGGAAGTTGTAGCGCGTTGTAGTGCCTTTGTTTCGGCGTACTTCGTCAAATAGTCGGTGTCTACTACGATCTACTTGTTGCCGGCAGATGATAGCAGAAAGGGCCCCAGTAAATCCATTCCTATTTGATCAAATGGCGCTCTGGGTGGTTCTATTGGTTGAAAAAGCCCCGCGGGCTTTAGTGGTGGGGATTTATGGCGTTGACATTCCCGGCAGCTTTTCACGTATCGCATAACTGATGCAGAAAGGTTAGGCCAGTAGTATGCTTACTCGAGCAAGAGTTCGAAAGGAACCTAAGTGACCAGATGTGAGCTCATCGTGGCAGGCAAGAAGAATGTCGTCACGCATGTCGGTTGGCACAACTAGAAGATAGGTTCTCTCATTGCCATTGGAGTTTTTCTTATACAGGACCCCATCTCGCAGACAGAACGACGACAGACTTCGATAAATACATCGAGGTATGGACGAGTTGCGTCCTTCAAGGTTTTCGATAACTGCGCGAATTTCATCGTCCGCACGCTGTCGCGTAATCAGATCTGTTGTAGTAAGGGCCCTAAGGAAACCATTGTCATCCTCGGTGTCGTGGCCACAAACTTCGGCAGGTGCACGGGATAATGAATCAGCATTTTCGTGCTTGCGGCCCGATGTGTAAGTGATCGTGAAATCATATTCCTGCAGATGAAGACTCTATCGTGCCAGTCGCCCACACGGGTCCTGTAGGTTGGCTAACCAGCACAAGGATTGATGGTCGGTCACTACCTTGAAGTGGCGTCCGTAAAGGTAAGGCCTAAATTTTATCGTGGCCCATACAACAGCGAGACACTCTTTCTCTGACGTGGAGTAGTTGACCTCGGCGCGGGAAAGAGTGCGGCTAGCATACGTTATCACTCGCTCTGTGCCCTCTTGTTGTTGTACGAGGACAGCACCAAGACCCACGTTGCTGGCGTCAGTATGAATTTCAGTATCAGCGTCTTGGTCAAAGTGAGCGAGGACTGGTGGTGTCTGCAAACGCTCCCGTAGTTCAGAGAAAGCTGCGTCCTGTTCTTCCTCCAGACGAATGGAACATATTCACGAGTGAGTCAAGTGAGCGGTTCAGCAATCCTAGAAAAATTGGCTATAAAGCGGCGATAGTACGCGCAGAGCCCTAGAAAGCGACGCACTGCCTTCTTATCACGTGGAACAGGAAACGAGGCCACGGTGGTACTTTTGTCAGGGGCTGGTGGAATACCATCCGCACTGACAACATGGCCGAGAAACTTAAGTTTCTTGTTACCGAAGTGGCAGTTTTCTGGCTTCACTGTCAGGTTAGCAGAGCGAAGCGCTTCCAGCACATTCTGCAGACGCTTCAGGTGCTTCTCAAAGGTGGCAGAAAACACGACAACACCATCGAGGTAAACTAAGCACGTGTGCCACTTGAGACCGGTAAGAACAGTATCCATCATTCTCTGGAATGTCGCAGATGCAGAACAGAGGCCGAAGGGAAGCACTTTGAATTCATATAGGCCATCCGGTGTAATGAAGGCGGTTTTTTCACAATCTCGTTCATCAACTTCGATCTGCCAGTAGCCACTTTTCAAGTCTGTCGCTGAAAAATACTTGGCTCGCCGCAGTCTATCGAGGGAATTGTCGATGCGAGGCAGCGGATAGACGTTTTTTTTAGTCATGCTGTTAAGTTTCCTGTAGTCCACGCAGAAGCGCAGTGATCGCTCTTTTGTCTTCACGAGCACGACGGGAGATGACCAGGCACTTTACGGAAGTTGGATAATGTCATCTTGCAACATCTCTTTGACTTGAGCATTTATCACGTCACGTTCCTTTGCCGAAATGCAGTAAGGGTGTTGTTTCATGGGCGAGGCGTCGTTATACGTAATTATTCGGTATTTGGTGATCGGTGTCTGACAAACCTTCGAGGTGGACGCGAAGCACTCTTTAAATTGATATAGCAGTTCACTTAGGTCGGTCTGTTGTTGTTCCGAGAGGGTCGAGTTGACATCAACTTTTTCAAGTAGTGAAGTCACGTCGCCTTGTGTCGGTCGAAGCCCGTCGTTGGCTGATGTAGATGCGAAGCATTCAGAAACGTCTGTGATAGGGTAGGCGAAAGCGATGGCGGTGTCACGAAACAGGTGCCGGTACTCGTTACTGAAATTAGTCGCAAGTAGGGCAGAGTGTCCGTCATGACGCGTGACGAAGCTGCATGCAGCGCAGACACCTAGCGCGAACAAAAGCGTCAAGTTGCCTTCGGCGACAACCTCACCATCCCGTAACTTGTCAGACTAGGACGCTTGAACGCGGAGGCAACGTGATGCTGTCGGCAGAAACGCGAAGCGTGCTTTCACGGATATCGTCAGGTTTGTCGGAGAATCCAGCTGTCGAAAACGTCACGGTACGCTCTCGAAGATCAATAATAGCGCCGTGCTCCCGCAAAAAGTCGACTCCGAGGATTAGGTCTCGCAAACAGTCACGAAGTACGAGGCAGCTGGCGAGAAACGTAGGTCCCAGAATGCTCACTCTGATAGTGCACATGCCGATTGGGGTGACTACGTGCCCGTTGGCAGTACGAATTTGTGCTTCGTACAATTGCGTTACAACTTTCTTTATGTGCGCTGCTAGTTTCCCGCTTATGATCGAGTAGTCCGCACCTGTGTCCAATAATGCACTAACGTCGTGGTGACCGTCGACTACCACATGTATATCCAGAAAAAATCTGCTTCTGGTTTTCCTCACTGTCGTCGGGGAATCGCTTCGTGTTTGTGCTTGCGTCGATGGGAGGCCTTGCTTGCGTCGAGTGTCAGCGGCCTCGCTCCCGAAGGTCGCTGTCGTTAGTTTTCCCGCCTAGGGCTTGGCGAGCGCGCCGGCGCCGCTCCTGGGAGGCTCCGAAAATTTGGAGAAGATCGCCTTAGTGATGGGGACCGCGACTGCCGCCGCAAGGGCATGCGCTGCTGTGAGAGGTAATCTTCAATAGCTCTCGGTCTTTCGCCAAATCTCGGCCGCGGTGCGGCGACAGCAAAACCCTGTAGTCCGAGGCGACGATAGGGACATTTCCGGTACACATGTCCAGCTTCACCACAGTGGTCGTCTGTCCGGTGTGCGCCATATGTCGGATTTTCTGGGAAGCGGCTGTCGATTTTCTAAGTGCTGAATTGGCTGCACCGAAGGAAGTGCATCCGGAGGCATAGAATTAATGAAGCGCGGTGAAGCAGGAATATATGGGCTTACAGCTTCGGCATATGATGCACGATGTGGCTCTGCCGGGACAGGCCGGACATAGCAGGAAGGCGGCACTTGGAGAGCCTGTCGTACTTCGTTTCTGACAAGGCTGCAAATAGACCCTGCAGTAGGTTGGGACTGGCACTGAATCTTTTGTAGTTCGTCGCGCACCACCGATCGAATGAGATCGCAAAGAGACTCGATGTTGATGTTGCTTGCCGCACCTCCGATCTGACCTATTGACGAAGCGGCACTCACTTGCCGGTCGTACACAGTAGAGCGCTGCTGCTGCACTTGCTCCATATTGTGGCTTCGGTCAAAAATTCCGCCACGGTCTTTGGGGGACAGCGAACGAAGCCAGCGAAAAGCTGCTCCTTCACTCCTCGCATTAAATGACGGACCTTCTTTTCTTCTGCCATGTCGGGGTCCGCTCGACGAAAAAGGCTCGTCATGTCCTCGACGTACATCATGACGCTTTCATTCGGCATTTGGAGGCGTGACTGAATCGCCCGCTCGGCTCGTTCGCGGCGATCGGGATTGGTCCAACTTGCCAGCAGGTATCGACGAAAGACGCTCCACGAGGGAAAAGGCTCACGATTTTTGTACCAAGTACGAGCGCCGTCCTCCAAGCTGAAATACACGTTCCTCATTTTGTCGAAGTCGGTCCAACCATTGTAATCCGAAACCCGTTCGAACTGGGCCAGCCAGTCTTCGACATCCTCCAAGACGGAACCGTGGAACACCTTCGGCACACGAGGCTTCTACAGTGTATGATGCGTGGCTGCAGCGCTTTCCTGTGCATTGGAGGCTGCAGCGCCTTCCGTAGCATTCGGGGGTGTGACAGACGTCATCTCGGGAAGAGGTCCATGCTCAGGAGGTAGTCCTCGGAGTCTTCGGCTTGAGCGGTGGACAGGTGTTGTCACTGTAGGTACAGGGCTTCCTGGAGGCGTTTGGAACATCGGCTGGGGGTTATCCAGCAGCTCCACCAGTTGTCACGTGCTACAAAAGGTCTTCAACTAGGAAAGAACTGAGCCGGCGGGGAGACACACCGAAAACTGGCAAGATGGCTGCTTCAATTATAAACAACTAGCCAGAGCACACGCTGCCCCAGAACATCTTCCATTCTTGTTGGCAGCTATGGCTTGCGCTCGCCGTAACTAGTGGCCAAGTGGCAATATAAGCCGCTATAACAAGCTCTGAAACTAAAAAAAAAAGGACGAATCGATGTGAGAGCAATATATTATTTTATCTTGATGCTAGGTGTGGCAGTAGTGTAGAATTTTTTTTTAACGTGTTTTCACGTTATGCAGAATAATATACATTTAAATTAATGCTTTCACAGCTTAGCACCTCTTCACTGCAGTGAAACCACCTACACAGGGGCCTATGTGCGTAATAATATACTCTAATACCTCAAAATTTCTACAATTTAAATTCGAAACAAAGCAAATTTCGAACACAGCAAAATTCATTGAAGCATTTCGAATATTCACACATGGTGCGCCCGCTGACTTCAACACTGGTGTAAACAGTGACGTTTCTGGTGCAGTATGGTAAGTTATAGTAACGTAGGGCACCAAAACATATGAAATCATCACCTGCGATTCAACAGCAAAGCCACAAAGCAGAGTGCTTGTTAAAAAGTCATGATTGTTTGCAAATAAAAAATAGTCTTGAAATAGCCTATTATGTACTTTTATATTATACTTTTATAACGAATTTTGGATATAACAAACCTACTTTTGTGTAACATGCAACTTTGCTATTATTTGGTTTGAGTGTACGTGATTTTGTACAACCACAGGTGGGGTTGACAATGCTTTACACGTGCAAGAAAAAGATGTTATTTCCTCAATCTCTTCTTCTCCTCCAACTTTCCGTCGAAACCCAAGTGGTGTGATGGACAGGGGTGCTCTCCTTTCAAGTTGGGAGCTCATCATCTGTTGCACGTGTTTCCCACTTCTATTGTGCAGCTGTGAGTGTTTCTGTAGTGCCGGCATTCCGGTAGGAGAGGTCACTTTCTTTCAGGCACAGCATTTCGCGAATACCAGACAAGTATGCACTTTCACAAACCTGGCCAAACAACGCTTTCGCATTAAAATTTAGTGCAAAATGATTCTATCAGCATGCTAACCAGTAGACCTGGCGGTGGCAAAAACGATCTAGTCTTCACACCCAGTCTCGAATGTGCTGCTGGCTGTCGCTTATTGATGCACGTGTCATAAGGTACAGTATTTTCAAGAGTCTGGATCATCTGTCTTGATACTTCACTGTTTTATGGATGATACTAATGAATTTTACTTGGCGGGCTGATTTCGTGGTGCCGCGATATAATTTGGACAAGGCGCCTAGCCAATAGGCTCTATTCAGTACGAAACTGAAATACAAAGGAAGAAACACTTAGGAGGTGCAACTCCGCTCCTTTAGGCAACCAGGTAATGTTACATTGCTTGAGTGCCAGTTTATGCTGGTGGCGTCTTGCGACAGAAAAGGGAATTGCCGCCGTTTGTTTTCTGAGCGAACCAGTCGTGCGCATTGCTTGTGTTTGACCGCAGTCGTAGAGCAAGGACGCACCGCGCGTTCAGGTGCCCTCCGTGTCAGCCGGTGGCGTTTTATTTTTTTCATAGCGGCTTTACACCTCAAGGCACCGTCAACTGAAATGTCTCCATCAGAGCATGTTAGTTTTGTACTATATTATGTGACCTTATCTGGATGCTATGGACGCCCGTTCTGACAGGAGTTTCACCCCTTAAACATTTCTTATTTTGTGCACCGAAGCCACGTTCACGCTGCTAGCAACAGCCGACCAACAATGGCAGATGCAATGGCAAGAACTCATTCTGTGCTATATCACACTCTGTGTTCCTCATATTTGTTCCTTGTGAAGCAGAAATGGTGACACACACCTTTCATTATAAAACGTCCACTTCGATCGAAAGTTATTTCACACCTACATCGCGTCTATTCTGCGTGCCTAAACCTGTGTCTGGGAGTGTTGCAAACAAATGAAGGAAATCTTCGGCTCCGTGCTGACCAGGAAGAGTTTCTACTGTTCAAAAACCAAGGAGTATCTGGACTTCGACTACAAGTTTGCAGGCGTTCTCAAGAAGCTTAGTGGAGACGAAGCTTGTCAAAGTTTAAAACGGCACCTGATGGAGGTGTGTCCAGAAGCGGCCAAAAGTCAACAAAACTGGATCACTGAAGGAAAGGAATTGGCAGCACAATACATACGACTTTATATGAGGGTGCATTTTGCTTGCCTTTCCTTTTTCTCATAATTTAGCAGCATGCCAAAGATATTGTCATATTTCGCACTGGCAAAACTGGGTTTGCACGCATCATATAGAAGTGCTGTGATTTTATTTCGAGAGAATGTAATTTGTATTTATTTTCTGAAAGTTTGAGTGCTTCAAATAGTAAAATTATGGTACGAAGCGAATGGAATAGCAATCATCACTAAAAAAAAATTCAAAAGTTTGAAAATTCCTACGCCCCTGGTAGGAACTGACTCTAGCTGTTGAAAACTTATTGAAGATAATTTTTCAGCATGCGTTTACCTTTGCAAATACATATTCTAGGCTGTTGAGGGCTTACCCCCATATTCACAAACTCTCCTCAACTCGACTTTCACCCTTCGCTTGACAGAGTTGAGCACTGCGCCGCTGCTCGGCTGAATGACGCTGCGCTGCTCGAGAATCGCACCACATTATCGATGATATGCAGTGACTTACCGTGCCTAAAGAGGGCGCTTCCATCGGCTTTCTCAAGTAAAAGTGAAGCGTTGAGTGAAGGGACGTTCTAGAATACGGGGTTATCCTTTCATTCAACACAATAAGAACGAGAACTCGAAATTTTCTTGTCAGTTTCTTTTCGACGCAGTCTGGCGTCATTTACTTGTGATAGACGTCCTCACGCGGTCCTAAAAATACTCCTAACAAGTTTGATTTTTTTCGCCGTCCCATCGTCGCAGGTCATTTACTACCTTCTGCTGCACCCCAATGCCTCCAGCATTGCTCAGTCCTGTAATGCAAGACCTGAACAAGTGGATTGACTACGTGTCTAAAAGGTCAAAAGACTCGCCAGTGGAACTGCCAAATGCGGAACACGGGTCATCACCCTGTGTGCACCTCACCGAAAGCGTTTGCAACAGCAACCCATTAGAGACATCAGGTGACTTGGCTTTTGAAGATACAGGAGGAGCCAACGACATTGCGATACCTCTGCACACACTGTGCGATTCGCATGCAATCGAGTACAGTTAAGTGGGAGAAAACTTTGTAGTCGTGCTCTGAAATTGCAAGTGTGCAATGTATGGTGCTGACCTCATGGCAAGAGGTTGTTTTGACTTGCCCGTCAAGAGAAAGTCACTAGTCAAGCCCTCATGGAACAAGTGAGAAATTATGAAAGCCCAAAGCTGCCTCCAGCGTGACTGTGTAGTGACATATATTGGCTGCCTTTTGGAAGAAGGCTGGTGCAGTTTGAGATTGTGATTGCTTGCGAATGAGTAGTTTGTGTATATTACCCACATCTAGGTATACAAGCACGAAGGCCCCATGAGCGGGTTTTATTGGCAATTCTTGATGGAATTATTGGCTGCACTTTGGAAGAAGACTGGCTTTGTTAGAAATTGTGATTGCCTGCAGATGAATAGGCGGTACACGTAACTCAAGTCTAGACATTGTGTCGAGGAAAGAGCGATTCCAGTTAGCCTGCGTAATGGGATTATGACATCCACAGTGCCTTTGTCGTCATCATGTGATTCTTGAGTTAGCGTACATGCCATGCTTATACCTTGCGAGCATGGTTCAAACTAAAAGCCGTGTCACAACGAAAAATTGTGTTAAGTTAGCTTAGCGACTATAAAGAAGCTTGAAAAGTATGCTCAACTACGTACAGGGTTGTGGGGTTTGCCCCACAGTTTGGAAGCGTTATAAGTACTAGTCCTGCATGCAAATTTTAAACCCGCTCGACCTCTTAAGAAACTTTTGCTTGATGATTCCCGAGATCCTTGATGTTAACTGAAAATAATGTTTCCTGTGATTGTGTGGCCTGATACTTCTGAAGCCAACTGTACTTAGAGGTGAACTGATATCAAAAAAGGACATGAGAATGACAGCCTGACCAGTTTTCAAAAATGGCTACATGTTTTGGGTGCAAGTATAAAAGTTGCACTTCTGAGCATAACTGGAATTCATACATAACATTTCAGTAACTTACATTTTTTATCGAAGCACCACAAAACAGCCGCCCCTTGTACTACTGAGCTATCGCTGAAGAGTTGCCGTAATTGGTAATACTTTGGGGTGTACTGGCAGTAAAGCTGTGTAATCATTTTTTTGAAGGCGGGAACATTCAGGAAAGTGCAGTTTTCAGCTAAATTGTTTGCATATTCTTCTTATGGTCATTGCACCTAATGCATGACTGATGAACCCACAAGTTGTGACTTCCATGATTGCTGCATTTAGGCTGGGCCTAGAAAAGAATACTTTGACTATGTGGGAACGCTGTGACTGGCTTTCATTCAATGCTCAATATTTCTTCATTAATCATCCAAGAAATCACTGAACTGAGACATGTGTTTGTTTGTCTGCTTGTCACTTGGAACATATAATGTTCCAACTCGTGCATCAACAGAACGAAAATGTCAAAATTTTTTAAGGCTTCTGAAAATGTTTTGTGAACACTCTAACTAGAACGAGCTAATTTGTGATGTATTCTTTCGGACGTCATGAGCTAAGTCCTTTAGCCTAGGTTTCTACATTAGGTTAGGTTAAAGTGACCGAAGGTTTACAGCCTTGACTTGCCAGAGAGAACACTCGATTAAGCAATGCCCATTTTTGTTTATGTTTGTGCTCATAAAGTAATAGTGGTATCAGTATGTAATTTTAACTTTCATTTTCAATGTATTAAATCATGTGGTCATTGTTCGTGTTCTACTTGTATCATGTTGACAAGAAGCAAGTGCTTTCTGGCTTCTCGTCATGATGCATTGGCTAGCTTTCGACGTCACATTGACTGAGGCTGCTGTTTAGCGTGGCTAACTAACAGCTGTGCACTTTACTCTGCAGTAACTTCTTAGATCATTATGGGGCAAATGCTTAGGAAACTGGGCCCATGAAAGTTGATTATTTATAGCCTTCGGTGCCCTGTTGTTGATACAATTGAAACTAGCACAGAAGGAACCCTTGGATTAAGCAAGGCACATTTCCAATGCTGTTTTTTTTTTCTTTAGCAACAAGGTTTTGACATTTTTATGGTGGACAGCACATGCCACTTTTTTATGTTTTATGTTTTCAAAGTTTATGTTGGATGTTTTCAAAGTTAAATGTTTCAAAGTTTTCAGCTTGTCATTGCCTTCTTCCATCGTTTGTGTCCATGCCAGAGTGCAAGCTTACGCTTTTTTTGTGACTTGATATGACTCATTTTGTGCTGGCTTGTTCTGCTACAAATACGTCTGAGCGACAGGGTCCCCTGTCAGTTGTAGACAGCTACTAGTCTACATGATGGATCAGCAATTACGGTGATTGACTGCTGACCTAAAAGTCACTGGGTTGGTCCCGGCGGAAGTGGTCGCATTTCGGTAGAAGTTTCGGTAGAGGTGAAGGTTTCGGTGAAGGCAGAGGCCCATGTACTATGCAATGTCAGCGCACATTTAAGAACACCGGGTCCTCAAAATTTCTGGATCCCTTTACTGCGACGTCCCTCATAATCATGTCGTGTTTTTGAGACCCGATATATTAAACGTGCCATTTGTCTTTAGTGAATTATTTATTGTTCATGTAGCATCTACCATGGTCATGAAAGCTCTGGTTGTGTGCATAACGCCTGGTGTTTTCATGCACTATCAGTTGCAAAAGTTTTTTGATTTATTTGCTAGAAGCCAAACCAAATGCAAGTTAATGTGATACTGTCATGTCGGAACTGCAGAGGACATTCTTTTGACATGCTTGCAGCGTGGGAGTGACTTTCGCTGCAGCATGCATTTACGGGGTGTGAAAGTTGTGACTAAATAGTACTGTGAGGTATTAATTCACCTTAACACTTACTCATGATGGCCAGCACAAATGGGGCGCAGAAGACAAAAGTACACGACACAGGTGCTGTCTAACAACTAACTGAATATTTATTGAAATAAGTACCTAGGATGTATATAGAAGAATTTGTGGAAAAAAATATATGGAAGTATTCATAAAAGATATATATAGGAGAAGATATAGGAGGAGAAATTAACATAAAAAAGTACACCTTTCAAAAGATAACCAATGATCAAAACAATATTATCATGCATAATAGATTGAAACAGTGAATGTCTCAGGAAAGCCCATTCCTCATCAGTCAGAGCTATAGAAAGGCAGCTTATGCATGTAATCAACACAGCATTCAATCCAGTAGGCATTACTGTGCAGCCACAAGATAATGTGAAAAAAATATGAAAGATTTCAAGTTTTGCCAGATATAAGGTCAACAAGATTACCCCTTGATGTTTGCACAAGCCACGTTTAGTAAGTTGTTGAACTGATTGTTTGACTAATTGCTAAACTAATCTGCAGGAAAGTGATTTGTGAACGTAAATACTATTGATCTATGTCTCACTTGGACTGGTGCGATAACCACCACATGAGTGCTGAATGTGACAGGACACGTCAGTTTAATGACAGAACACAAAGGTCATTACTGTAACTTCGTTATGCAAGTACTTGACGGGTATCACATCACTCCCGCTGATTTGATGACCATTCTGGCCATCGGCATTCCGACGTAGAAATTTTTGTGACAGAAGGTACATCTCATTGTTGTACCAAGTGTGACCATTTGTACGTGAGACAGGCGGGAGGATATTGTCATTGCGTGTTGTGTGCCTTAATGATGTCCTTTTTACATGTTTTTACAAATGGACTCTTGCATAACCAATGAAATTACTTACCCCACATTTCAATTTGTGAAAAGTGAAGAATGCGTTTATTCTCGAGGTCCAACTGGTACTGTTTGGTGTAGGATCTCGGATGGTTGGTGTGAAGTGCGTGCTCTTTTTCATAGTTCTGTCTTTTTCTCATAATCAAATTGTGAGATTAAGAATAAGTATAAACTTTTTACAGCATCTTGCAAGCAATCGCTGCCAAAAATTCGTACAGAACAAACTCATACTCCTGTAGAAATAACTAGGCCTATGTGCTTACGTGGTTTGTTTGCTAGAAGCACAACAATGGTTTCTGGGTAACAAATTCATTGCAGTAAAGAATCATATGGTGAACTCATGAGACTGCGGTGACTCAAATGCCAGCATTCATGTATACACTTTGCTGCTCAGCAGTGCTTCTTTAAAGCTTGCTAATGTTTCTGTGTGGTGAACAAACTTGATGGTCAGTGTTACTGCTTCACTAGGTTAGAAAGAGTTTGGACCGACATGTGCAGGGGTTCGTACATAACAGGTGATTGTTAGTTGGGAGTGTTTACTGCTCACATGTCAGGAAATGCTCATGTTCACAGAATGCCAAATGATTTGTCACAACAGTGTCACAAAAAGTTCACCTTATTGATGCCTTCCCAGTTTTTCTGGAGATACTCAGCTTCTCTGTTTTTATCTCTGCAAAATGTGGTTTTAGTGACAGCTGTTGGGGCACCTATTATGATCAGCTAAGTTCATTTCAACTGAAGGGTGCCTTTTCATTTTATGGCCAAAGTTGCGTTTCAATCGTTATTGGGGCAGATGAAAAAGTTCCTGCCAACTGTCTTTTTTTTTCTGCATTGCATCAGGAATCATGGGTGTAGCCGTCCTCAGCCTTTGCTAAATGACGCTATATTGCGCGGGTCTCGTATGATGCGACAAAAAAGCTGTGGTTAGGTGGTTAGCTTAATAAATCAGGAGGAAGATTGCAGAGAGGCTGGTGATATGGCAGCCATAGGTCGGAAAGAAATGTGGAGCTCATTCAGGCTGACACAAGGTTTCTCAAGTTTTCTCAACCAGCCTCTCTTGAAGCCAAACTTGCAGAAATATCACTCACCTGGGCTCACTGATACTCATACTCGTGGCTCAATCAGAGTGAGTGAGTTAAATGAGTGAGTCCGAGCTGTCATATCAGCCAATACCTAATTATTGTGTTCACGTTAGGGATGTAAAGTATTGATGCGTGTTCGAATCTAGAATTACAGGCATACATTTTGTGGCGGTGTTTTTTACTTCAGTGCTGAGAGGACAGGGTATTTTGTTGAGTACTATACAACAACAGCCCTTTGGACAAAGGTGCACAAAGAATAACGGCATGACTGAATGTGCCAATTACTACATATCTGTGCATTGCTTAACAAAGCTCAGTGCAAGAAACTTGGGCACTCTAGGTGGTGTTGTGCAACTATAGTAGTCAAATTGTTACTTCCTGCGACGTTTATGTTCAGCACATCCGGGCTGTGAGCTGATGAACACACAGCAGGATACCGCGGTTAACTCATTAGTGGATGAATGAGTTGTCTGCCATCATGGAGGCAACCTGTTTATGTTGCAGAACCTGGAGGCAGTTTTTGCACAATGACATCTTAGCCTTACATTTTTTTGCTAATGTTGCTATGGCAACGTAGTCCGCTACTTCAACTTCTGTTTCGTGCCTCTAAATTTCTCTTTTATCATCATTATACTTTTTGCGATCTCTAATTGTTTTGTTTATCGTGACATTATCTAGTCAGCTACATACGTAGGTTCCACATGGAAAGTTTCTATATCCACATATTTTTTGTTCCCTGAAAGTCTTTTGGCACATACTCTATTACGTTATATTTTGAATGCAACCACTATTTAGATTTTAACAAG